TTGATTATCTGCACCAGTAAGCTCTTTTGCTGGCATGGCAGGCAGTAATTTTCCATCTTCCTAACAAAAAAATGCTTTTTGCGTTTGAAAATTATAATAGCTAAAGCTTTATTCTGTTTTTACCAAAATGCTGCTATATTAGGAAGAAGGAAATTTTACTCCCTCTAATCCAGGACCCTTCAGGGATAGCCATGTACCCTTAGGCAAGTCATTTTTTCTACCTACCACTTTGCTGGTTTTGAAAGGTATTTTCTAGCTCTTAAGTGCTAAGCGCTCAGCTGAATATTCATCATCCCACTCAATCTTCACAAGTCTTTGGAGTTTGTACAATTTCACTTTCATTTTAGGCTGAAGAAGTTACATGATAGGTGAATGACTTGTCCAAGGACACAGCTGAAAAGTGCCAGACCTGTGTCTGGAGCCCTGATTTGTGTTGACTCTTGGAACTATGTGTTGGCTCTTTCCCTCTGTGTCTGACTGACTTTCAATGCAGCCTCTGACTCTTTAATCACAAGAATAAAAAAGCAATTGACTTATGCTTAAAAACTTAACTATCATTATGGGGCATATACTATAAATTATTATTGCATGATGCTTATAAAAATTGTTGTATCTATACTTTTTCTTTTTTCTTCAGTGCTAGGATTGAACCTAGGGCCTTTCACATGCAAGGCAAGAGTGGTATCTCCAGCCCTGTATCTATTCTTTTAAAGAAAGTTTGGAATTGTGTATGTTTTCTCTATTTGTCATTCTTTAGTATTTTCTCGATTCAAAATTCTGGGGTTGTCTTTGGTCTATAGTACCTGTCCTTTTATTCCCATTAAATTACCATGCTTTATGTTTCTGTTTAAAGTCTCACTACTCGTCCTATTTGGTCTGGTCTCCCTTCTGCTATTCCTTTCCACCTTAATTTGATCTTATACATTGGTCCAGTTTTTGAATTTTTTTCTTAACTTAGCTTCTGTCATATGGCACATGTGTTTAAATCATTAATGTCTCCTGTTATTTTTTTTAAAATGCAGCTTTATTAAGCCATGATGTAAGACCTTTCCTAATGGGATCTACTCTAACACTCCATGAGCTTTTTGCTGTCCCTTCTGTTTTTGGTTCCAGGGATTGAACTCGGGACCTTTTACTTGTGAGGCAGGCAGTGGAACCACTGAGCTAAATCCAGCCCACCTTCTTTCTCTTCTTGCCTGTGCTAATTTAGCCCTCATCTGGCTGTGGAAGCATGGATTATCATGGATAACAACTAATTTGTTTTTTTAATATACTTTATATTTTGATACTTTTTTTTTTACTTATATATTACTCACCCAGATGAATTGTTAACTTCTGAATGTAAACATGTGAACTCTTGAGTCCAATATAATATTTAGCACATTTGTTTTGCATATAGCATGGTAGGAAAAATTAATGAATAAATTTTTGAAGTTCTAAAGTCAACATATAATTCCAATTCTGTACTTTGCTTTTGTTAATTTTATAAATGTTAAACAAGTTAAATTTAATAGACTGAAGTTCTTCATCTGTAATTACATATGAAATTGGAAATATTTAATAACAAATAAACTATTTTAAAGAAATCATTTATATTTAGTATTCTACTCTGAAAGAAATAGCAAGTCTACTTTGAATGAAAGCAATATATTCAGTATTACACTGTTTAAAAACAATATTTGAGGACTTATAATAAATTATGTTAATGGTAATATGTAGTTTTGGTGGGGATAACATGACTATGGTGTTATGAATATAAAATATATATAAATGAATTGTTAAATTTATCTTACATGATGTACTAACTATAGTTGGAGATCTTTTGGGATTTTGAGTAATGTCATAATGAAATTTAAAAATACATTTAGATTAGATGCTAACTTTTAAATACTCAGCTTATACATGACTTTTTTCTCAAAAGTACATCGTATTTTTGTGTATCAAAATTGCTTCTTCTTGTTAAATCTGAAAATATTTCTGCCCTTTCTTCTTTTGTTTTCCTTGTTTTAGTCTGAATATTTTAAAATGTTCAAGTCTATTTTCTTTTGCTTAATTTCATAAATGTTCTGTAATAAATATTTCTACTGTACTATAAAAATGATTTAAAACTATATCCTATATCAATATTTTTGCTTTAAAATATTTAAATTTTAGTAAGATAAAATAATTTCTTTCTAAAACCAATCATAAATTTTCATTTTATATACTCATTTATTGATCTTAGAGTGCTTTTGTTGCTTTTTGAAATGCAAATTTTAATGTACTATTATTGCAGCTCTAAATTTTTATACACTTTTGAGGTTAAAGGTTCTCATGCTTTAGTTTTTCTAAATCATTTTTTCAAATATTGAACCTTGTAATAATGCCTTCTTGTACACCTCACATTTTTTAAAGGTATCTTAAAGTATTTTAACCTTTAATCTGGTTTTTATAACATCCAGATGAAATTGTAAATCATAGCTTTCACAATAAAAAGTCACAAATTTGGTGTAAATTCCTGCATATATCTAATCAAATCTCTTAAACAAAGATATGATCAGATTTTGAAGGTAGTGACATTTTAAGTTATAATGACTTTTTAAAGGCAACAAGCTTCAGAATGGAAGTGCAGATTATGCATTTTGACTGTTCTCATTTAATCATTTCATTTTAAAAACTAAATTTCATCTTACATCCAAAACAACCTCACTAATGTGCATGTCCGGATGTGCTAATTCCCTTTGTCATAAAATGTAAGTGAGCCTAAAATTTCTAATAATTTCTCATCACATTAAAATCCATAGGAAAAATTAACATGAGCTAATTTAGAATTTAAGTGCACATATTTCATACGGATGCTTTCTCCCCCTTGCTCTCTACCTAAGGAAATAGAGAAATTGAGAGCAGAACTGAGTGAAAGCAAGCGGCACGTGGAACAGGAGCAGCAGCAGGCAGCCCGGGCCAGAGAGGAGTGTCTGAGACTAACAGAATTGCTGGGCAAATGTGAGCACCAACTGCACCTCACCAGGTACTCGCTAATCCCATTATGCACCCTCGCCCCATTCCATTCCACTGATTTTTGCCACAGGCTTCCAAACAGTTGTTCGAGTTAGTCTTAGTCATTCGATTCGCACACAGCTTTCAGGCATATTAAGAAAAGTGGAGATGTGGTAAGCAAAACACCCAGACATGTGAATGATAAGTGTGGCAGAGAATTACTGATATATTACAAAACCTTTCATCTACAATGCTCAAATATTTAAGTGATTCTCTATCAATATAAGCAAAATGACATAATTCTTCCACCATCACCACAACCTCTCCTGTTAATTCTTCATCTGATAAAAACACTGACATGATGGATCTGATGAATACATTTAGGGAAATAAGAAGATATGTCAGTGATGAAAGAAACAAAATTTAAAAATCCTAAAATGCAAATTGAGATGGAGCGGATACAAAATAAGAATTCATGTCCTAAAGAGGTGTAAAATTTAGAGATCAAGTTGATTAGCGCTGTTCATAGTCAAATCATTATTATAACAATGCTTACACCATTGAGGTTGTAGATGGCATTGTTTATATCATGAGATAATATGATATGATCACTATCATTGTAAACTTTAGTAAACGTATAGCTCAGTCTAAATTAAAATAAGACCATTTAGGTTGCAAGCACTATATTTGCTGTATTACAAAAGCACATGCATGCCTAAATACACACACAGGGAAAAATCAAATAGGGACAGTAGATATTTCACTTTACCATGTAAGTGGTTCCTTCTCACTTTGAGTTTGACTACAGTTTTTCAGTTTTCAGATTAAGCCTTTGGATTTATTCAGTTCTTAGAGTTTTTCAGCTTTTAGAGAGAATTTTGTCTAAATACACATGTAAGTTTATGATATTTGATTTAGTTTATAAAATAGAAAAACACTGGTCTTCCAATTATAGTACTATGTTGAATTTAAACTACGAAAGGGGACTGATCCCTTTTACATTAAATATGACAATGTAATTCTGAGCACGGTATGATAACAGATGGAGAAAAGCACCACTTGAACAGCCTGCATTTGGAGAAAAAATATTCTAGAGGTTGGTGAACCTCCCAAAGTTTTGGGTTAGTGTTAAGATGCCTCTAGTTCTGTTAAAATCAAACTTTGTTAAGGAAAAAAAAAACATTTTGTTGTGATAATATTCCAAATGGTTTGACACCTTCTTTTTTAAACAGTAAAAGAAAAAGAGAGAAAAAAAAGAGAAAGAGAAAGAAGGAAAACAAATCATTTATGCATTATGATATTTGGGGGAAAAAACCTTAGATGAAACACTTTTATGAGAAAATATTGTTTAATTATACAGAATAATAGCTGTTCTTTTAATGTCTGTTTAATATGTTACCATTGTGGAACTGAGACCATAATATTGACCTAGTTCTGGTGGTTTATTTAATCTGCAAAGTTTCAGAATTTAACTTCATCATGATAATGGTAGTTTTTCTTTTCTGTTGGACTTGAAACCAACCATTTGTATGCTGAGTACTAGTAAACCACAGAAATAGACAGCTTTTAATGTTTCTATGGCTCAGCTTCAGTAAATAAATATTAATGCTGGCTTTGCCCCTTTTGCTGTTCTATCTTATTCAGAGAGTTAATTACTGAAGTCAAAGTCTGGAGAGAGTTTTCCTGAGCAGTATTAATTTGTACTGTTTGACAAGATCAATTTCTTGCAAGTAGAGTGTATTAAGATGCACCAACTGCTGAAAATGGGCGAGTGGTAACTAATTCCTTTGTTCTTAAGAAAAATGGGTTTGCTTGGTTCTGTAGAAAGCTTTTTCCATTGAGCTTTGATTAACCAATTCTATAAAAATTTAAACCTAGTTTTACAGGAAATAAAACTTAATCACCTGTTTTCTAAATGCAACACTCTTTGAAAGCATTTTATGTTTAGTTTATGCTCATGTTTTATAAAATCCACATTCATAAATTTAATGATGACAATTGGAAAGGAACCGTGTATATCTCTCCTTTGCACTGAAAATGTGACTTGGCTGTGGTTCTAAATACTGCTGATATTCTTTCTTTATAAAAGTGTTTGCTAGCACTCATTATTCTCTATTGATTCAGAATAGGCAGGTGTGGCTAAGAAACACTATGTTTTTCTTTTTTTCAAGATAGGCCAGTGGAAATAGATAATGCTCATGCAAATAGCACCTCACCATGCAGTTTCAAACATCTTGAATGGCATATTCTTATCACAGCTTAAAATCAAACATGAAATCTATATTGTACAGTGATGGTGAAAATCAGGATACATATCTCTAGGGTCAAAGAAAAATTTTAAATTAAAGTAGAAATCTGTAGATCAATCAAAGAAAAAGCTGTATGTGGTTTTTCTCCTTATTTTGATTTAAATTGGATTTTAAACATGAAAAATAAAAATTCAGCACTTATTGCAAGACCAGGGGGTCACTTAGTCAACACTGATTGAGTACCTACTATTTTTGAGGTACAGTTGAATCAAATTTCCCCATCGGGCAACACTGAAACTAACCATTGAATTTGATTGGGTTCCCCTCCAACTTGGTTTGCACCAGGATCCCAGATCAAGTTCCTAAACCAAGGTACTATACTCTGCTTGCCCCCAAAATAATAGTAAGACTCATTTCATATCCTTAGACCACTTAGACTCAATTAAAGGAGCCAGATCTATAAGTGCAATTATAATAAGGTGTGATATTACCACTATGGTAGAAGTAAACATTACTATGGGAGCATTGGGGAGGGTGAAGATGTCAGGGAAAGCTGAGAGTGAAAATGACTGGGAGGGGCAGATATTCAGCAGTTAATTAATCAGTTTAGGTGTAGGGGTTTTCAAAGTGCAAAAAAGTAAGCTGGGTATACCAATGCAGGGGCCAATATGTGCAAAGACATAAAAGTGATAGAAAACATAAACTGTACCATGAGATTAGGTATAAGGGCCTTATAGAAGTCTTAGCCATTCTGAGAGCAATGGATTGGTCTCAATGCATTTTAAGCTATCAACATGATCACCTTCCTGGGTTGCGATTCTGACTCACATAGCAGTGCAGAGAGTGAACTTGGAGACATGATACAGGAGACATGGCCAGCAATGACAGCCCACGGGTAAAATCTTCCCTATTGTCCGTTTCTGTATGATTTATAAGGTAGGAGTAGAGTTGTTTTCTGTTTATTTGAAGGAAAAATAGTATTTTATGCCAAGTACAGTAGCACACACCTGTAGTCCCAACTTCTTGAGAGGCTGAGAGAGGAGGATCACATGAGCTAGGAATTTGAGGCCAGCTTAAGAAACAGGCTCAATGATAATAGTAATGCTATTATGAAATAATAATACTATTATTATTATTACTTTGTATACCTAAAGACTGTACATAAAGTTTCGCAGAACATAGGTACAATTACCCGTTATGTATGATGTGTGACAGTACCACAGCAAAGGTGAGGGTGGTCCTCAAAATCTAAAATATTTAATGGCTGGCTGTTTACAAAGTAAATCAACCAACCCCTCAGTTAGGAGGCTGTTTAGTTCAAGTAAGACGTCAAGAGAGCTTGATAGGTTCCAGTTGTGTTTTTTGCAATTGAAAAGCCTTATGAAAATAGACTGAATGAGGAAGCAGTGATTAGCAGGGTCCCCAGTGGGACAGGAGTAAAGCTCTGGGCCATGGCTAGGCCAGTGAGAAGGGAAGAAAGTCACATATTCAAAAGATATTTAGAGTAGCAAATAGGAGACAGAATTAAAGGTGCCTCTATTGTTTCCAGACTGTGTTGACTATATAATCCTTTAATCCAACCAGGTAACTTAAAGAGGTAGCAAAAGAAACTAATACATATTGGTTAGGAACTTGGGTGGAAATGTCCAGTGTAGGTTTGTTGTGAGGCAGAAGGTCCCAAACAGAGGCTTAGATCTGGATGCTTTTGCATAGACGTATTATGTGTAACTAAGGAAGAGGGTGAAATCACATGCAGAAATCTTTACAAAGTTTTCAGCAGTGCTGGGGATTAAACCCAGCACCTCATGCATATTAGGCAGATGCTTTACCACTCACTAAGCTACATTCTCAGTCCAAAGCCCCTGTTTTTGAAGTTTAGGAGAAGAGCTACAGCCAAGGAGACTGAAATGGGGCCTTCAGGTACTTGTACATAAGAAGAGAATTAAAAATTATTCAAAAGATTCTTCAGTGAAGTAACCAAATATTATTAAAATTGTACACTATTCTTAAGGGAGGTTCCCAGGCAGCCTAGGACTGAGGAAACGTGCATTACAGTTTCCTTCCTAGGCATTCATTATCTTTGTATCTTTCGACAAATCACTTAGCTCTCTGGGCCTGCTTACTTGCCTGGAGAATGAGTTAAGACTGCATGTTTCTAAATTTCTTACTAACTCTGATAATCAACGATTGTAACAATTATTTAAAATAGCCTGGAAAAATATATAAAATAGCCTTTCACATAGTTCCTACTTCTGGACAGTAGGTATATAAGTTTCTTTGTGTACCCTTTTTATAAGATGTTCCTTTATTAAAGGACTTCAGAGCAGAAACATAGAAATGTCACTTATACTTGCCACCCACATTCATCAGACCTTAGGCTCTGCTGATCTCACAAGGCTTATGGAAACAACCTCCGAGCACCCCTTCCAATCCCTTTGCTAACCACTGTCCATTGAATCTTCTTATGCCACTGCCTTGACTCCATTGCTCTATTCCTCAGACCTTTTGTGATGCCACCACACTCACTGTCAGAAAGTACGAAATCACTCAGCGTGGCATTTTAGATCATTGCCATAGACTCCAAGCTTCCAGCCTTATTTCAACCCTACCAATCCTCTCGTGCTGATTTCTAGCCAAATATAACCACATGCAGTTCCCTTTGTAGTTTTGGACTATTCTGTCCTTTTATTCTGGACACCGTGGTTGTCCTTTGAGCCTTCTGTGAGCTTCCTGTAACTTTACCTTTTTTCATAGTCTCCCTGAAATTTGAATTTTTCTACTG